TAATTACTCTGCTTTTCCTGAGCATGCCCGGTATGAGGCGTGGTTTTCAGCTCCTTTCAGAAAGGGAGGGGGTGCAGGGGCGGAAGCTGTAGGGTGTGTCCAAATCCGTGGGCAGGATGCTTGTGAGTATGGGTCCTCGCCGGTCTAGCAAGGCCGGGTTCTTGCTCGACCGTTAAAACCGGAACCCAGCGGCTCTGAATTTGGACAGTCTAGCCTTCACCTTTACGGTGGCTCGTAGGTCCCGTCACAGCCGCGGCGGCAGCTACACGCAAAGGAAAACTGCTAAAGCTAGCGAAAATCGAGCAGGAATATTTAGGAGCTACAGCAGCTTCACGTCCATCAGTAGAGTTTGTTCACAACCAATTTCAGGTAAAGTAATTTTGTTTATTCTAGAAGCTTTCAGGACTTACATGTTAACTTTAGATCGTTTCATGTATGTTTTAAGAATGAACTGGTTAAATGTACACTACACATTACTACAGAGTATTAACATGTAGGTAATTAATATAAACCAAATGCATTATAAATGTTGAATGCAGTAGGAAATTTTCTAATGTTAATCGGACCTTTGAACTTCTTATTTTGCAACAAATGGGGGTAAAATGCTTTTAAAAACAGGCTTTTTAATAAAATAGCATTGAAGTGTTTTCAATGTGCATTTGTTTATTCAACTTGAGCCTAATGGTGATTAGATCTGTCTTAAAAATGTAAATTCTCTGTAGTTTTTATTTAACTGTTTCCTGCAGCTTTTTTTAAAAACAGAACCAATGGTTATATGTTTGGTTTTACATTGTTCAATAAAAAACATATTTTTTAATCTATTACAGGTCATCATGCACTGTGCTGCACATCTGCCTCTGTGCTGGTGAATTTGTGGCCTGAAGGATGAGCCTGAGGAAGATGTCAGCGGTGCTCTGTCCTGGAGGAGGTACCAGAAAACCACCACTACTGTTAACAGGCAAGTCATTTATGTAGGAACTTCTATTAAAAACAACACTGTGGCTAAGCCTAACCAGCCATTCCTCCCCATCCCCGCATATTTCTCTCCTCCTGCTCCCTCACATCATCACACAAACATACACATAGGACCTTGGGGGGTGGGCAAGTCAGGGAGTGCGGGTATGGACCCCATTTCCGCATTCCTGTGGCAACCTGCCCCCCAATTTTATTTGCACCTTATACACTTCCACTGACGACATTCCACACAAACACACACTTAGGGCCTTGGGAGATAGCACAATCAACGGCATTTGGCAGGGGGATATTTCAGCCTCCTCCCGAGTGCCGGTGCCCACTTCCAATTTTAAACTGCACTTAGACACTGATGGCTGAGGGTGTAAGTGGGGTGGTGCGGTGGCATCAGCTGGCATAGGTCGGATGATGCCCGCACTGCCCAGTCACCACAGCCATGGAATACACCTCATGATCACACAACACTACATTGGAGCAGGCGGAGGGAGACTAGGGGTCTTAGCCACCTCTGTTGTTGCTAGGCTTCCTGGGGCTGGAGGCTAGGAGGGAGATCTGGCCATCTGGTTGGGGTCTGGGGTGGTGGGTTGCTGTGCTCAGCGTTGGGCGGGGGAGCCTGCTCATCAGCACCCCAGCAGAAAGGGTCAAACTCTGGTTTCCGGTGATGGTTGTACCCAATGTGCAGCAGTACCGGGACCAGAGTGAATAGGGTGTGTATGGGGAGCATGAGTGGGTGTCCGGCGTGCATTTTTGTAAGTCTTGGGTTGTATGTGCATGTGTGAGCATGAGGGAGGGAGTGTGTGACTGTGTTTGTGTATGACTGTATATGTCAGATGGGGCCTTTGACTCCTCCCCTCTCCTGGAACTTCTCTTGATGATATAGATCTTTGTCCCCCCTCCCCCACCACACCTGGTGTGAGGGGTTGTGCCATGGTCTGCCTGAGTGTTCGTGGCAACCGGGTCTGGGGGTTTAAGATTTTGGCATCTGCCTGATAGATCCCGGTGGCTGCCTGGTGGGGTCTGGGTCCCTGGGCTCTGCTGGGTCCCCGGCGGGGGTGGTCGCCCCTGGGTCCGGGGTCGCTGGGTCCCGGGCTCGGCCGGCTAGGGGGTGGGAGGCTGCGGGCGGGCCTGTGGGCTTGCCGCTGATGTCTCCCGGGACTCTGCCGGCTGCTGGTTGTGGTCCCCCGGGGCGATCCTCTGTGCCTCTCGAGGGGGGCGGGGGCCTTCCTGGTTGCAGTCTCCTTGGGGTTCCTGTGTTCTGGGGCAGCGCCTGGATCTCTGGGACTTGGAGCTCCCCCCATCTCCTGCGCATCTTTGGGGGGCGGATCTGTGGTCCCTCACACTCTCTGTTGGACGCTCCTATAGAGAAACCTTAAATAAACAAGCACGTGTACACATACAGGTGCACACATGGTGCTCTCAAAAGTATGGGCTTGGGCATGTTAAGCACAGGTCTTAAGACTATGGTGGGCACTTAATGCACTGTGATTTATTATCGTGATTCTTCAGTTAAGCAATGTTGATTATATATTTTTTTCATCAAGTTGACGCAGTGATAGCTAGATCTTGTTGTATTGTTGTTGTGTCCTTTTTTTTTGTCCTTTTGGTTTTTCTGTCTTTTTCTGCAGGTCTAGAAGCAGGCTCTTGTTCATTGTTTAATTTTGTGGAACCCCCCCCCCCCCCCACCTTTTCTTTTCCTTTCTCTTTCACCTCTGACTCCGTGTCTGGTCAGAATTACAAAGCATTCAACAACATTAACAATAAAGTTTTAAGTATCAGGTGTGACATTAAAAGCAAACGCTTTGATGCTCCACCTGAGAATAAATCTGTAAGGCTTGTCACCAGCATTCAGACATCAATTCTGCTTGCTTCACAGCCAGACAGGACACGGTAAAAAAACAACAAAAAAAAAACAACACTGTGGTTTTATTTGCTGAAGATATATACTAGTTGTTATACTAGTGGATCCATAAACCAACTCCTCATTTCATTTTTTTTAATGCATCTTAGAGATGTAACAGCCGTCGTCTGAGCCAGCCCAGCAGTCCCTGTAGGTGGATGATGGAGTGGACAGTGAGAGGAAGCACCCCAAAGCTGTCTCTGCAGACCGTCCTGTATGATGTTCCTCTGACCAGAAACGTCCAGCCACGGGTCTGTTCCAGCCCTCCATCCACGTCTGGGTCCTCCTGCAGCAGATTCAGCTACACTGCCATAGACTTCCTGCTCACTCAGTTTAAATAAATGATCCAGGAACAGAGTCAGTCAGGTTAATTCTGCTTTAACTGTCCATAACTGGTCCATGTATGTTTTGATCTGTAAATAATTGTAACGTATTATAAATAATCTTGTCTCCTTACCATCTTTTTATTTTCTGTTCATGTAACATGTTCAAAAACATCTGTAATGATAAAACTGGTGATAAAATGATTGATCAAAAGAGTTATCAGTTAGTATTTGTTTTAATAAATGTGTTAAAATATCAAACAGCTAAATAACATTAACATAAAAGTAGAAGGCCTCTCTCCCAGGAGGACCACCAGGTAAAGCCTCTCCTGATCCTGGACACCTGCAGTCCTAAACGGAGTAAATCAGAGATCACAGGTGACAAAAAGGCAATAAACACATTTTTACATTTATCCACATGAGAAGATAAAAATTATATTCTTCACAGAAACAATTTTAACTTCATTAAAACGTGTCAACTGAACGTAAAACTACTTTTCACAGCAGAACACAGGATGAACTTCTGTGGTCACTCTTCACCTCTAAGCTTCATAAACACATTTCTTTGCTCTGTTTTCCTTAAAACAAATGATAAGAAGCTTAATTTGCTAAAGAAACACAAACACGATTTTAATTGTTCTTTGCAACGTCAACTGTTTGAATGTAAAACTGTACTTTTCACAGCAGAACACAGAAGAACTACTGTACTCATGTGTAGACAGCTTCACTTTTCACCTCTATGCTTAATAAAAACGCTCTGTTGTCCCTAAAACAAATGACAGGTTTAATTACACACACACACACACACACACACACACACACACACACACACACACACACACACACACACACACACACACACACACACACACACACACACACACACACACACACACACACACACACACACACGGGAATAACTACGGGACCCGCGATACAAACTCGTTCTGGCTGATTTCTGCATAAAATGTAATTTAAAAAACAAACATACAAACGAAAATGTCAATAAACAGAACTGCCTTAAGCTTTTTAGTTTTCCATAGCTAGTTTTTAAACAAACTTACGTTTAAAACTTCGTAGCTCTCCCCATTTTGTTTTCCTGTTGAAAGTCCACAGCTGGCGCGCAAAGCATGCTGGGATAGCCGTGTTCTGTGAGGATACAACAGACCCATCCTCGAAATGTGGGTGGAGCGAGGATGCATTTGAGGATGCGAGAATGAGTATTCTTGAAATTCGGACAGTACTCTTCGCTGCGCTGTGATGTCATCTACCTCAAACTGCTCCCTTACAAGCATCCTGCCTCTGGATTTGGACACACCCGTAGTCATTCAGATTTCAAAATCTACTTCTGCTCTCCTTAATGACATCACACTCTGGACAACATTCAGCTGTTTAATATGAGCTCATAGAGTCAGACTTATATGTGCCAAATGCTAGGGTCTGTTGTCTCTCATTCTTTCTGTGCTACCAAAAGGAAGGTGGGAATGTTTTTGCTTGTTTTCATTATCCATCTATTATAGTAATGGGAAGTCAGGCTCTTTTGGCTTAGCTTCCTTTGAGGAGCTTACAGTTGCAGCTCCCATATAGCTCATCATCACTTGGAAAGTTCTATTTTAATCTAATCAATCAATTATGAATGTTTTTGTGTGTTTTCATATGAGGTTGCTGCTTTTATCTATTCATATGATTTGTGGCACTGTATAGGTAAATATTTTGGATATAATTTAGACAGCATATTTAGTTTTTGCTAATTTGAAAGAAAACATTAGAAATCCATGACAGAGATGATAAGACATACAAACATTTTATGTGTGGTTGTAAGCGTTTATTGATTCAGATCATAATACAGTTTCAATGAATTTGTAATTATAGTTAAATTATATCAGATATAACCTTAAAGTAAATGATAATTTTTTTTCAGTATGCACTAAATTATGTGTTATAAATAACATAATAATAATAGTTTAAATCCTCAAATCAACACACCAAAAACAAGAGATTATAATGAAACTAAATTTTGTTTAGCTTAGATATTGACTTCATAATTACAGTTTCAGAAAAAAAAATAAAATTCATTCATTTCTTTGATTACATAAAAATAATGATCATGATAATATCTTCTGTGAAAAGGTTATTAAATAATTGCAGATTGTTGATTGACATAGATTTGGTTTAAGCTGGGAGTAGCATTAGTAGCAAAGTTGAAACAAGAGCAAACAGGACTAGAGAGGCTGGAGATTTTTCATGATTCAGTCCTCCATTTGTGATAGCAACTAGAAAAAAAGCACATGCATTTTTGAACCAAAACAATGGTTTGTTAAAAAATACAATTTTAACACAATATATCATTTCTGATCCAAAATAATTCAAAAATCAAGAAAACTGATTAAAATATTAAAACCCAATTTGTTCTAAGTACTGTGCTCTCACCTTGTGATGTAGACTGGGATGTACTTGATCCAGTGGTGCTTCCTACAGATGAGAGTTGATATAGTTAGAGATATGGTGCAGCAATACAGGGTGCAGCACAACCATTTGATGTTGAATGCGTGTCAGGCTTTTTCAACAAAGTACATCTTGATTTATCACAACTACAATTCGACATCTGTTAGTGTAAAGAGTTATTTTTTTAATGACAGGTTACTTTTTTATATTTCAAAATCATATTAAATGAGGTTTTCAGATGTTTAGAAAGATATAAAAAATAAAAAAAATCAATGAAAAGGCTAGCTATAATACAAACTTGCTTTGTTCCGATATTTTAACATAAGCATTTAATGAAGCCCTACATTTGGATGTGATTTTTGGTTAATTGCAAAAACTACAGATTGTGTAATGATCCTGGAGTGGAAATGTTTACCTTGCACAGTAGCTGCTGTTGGTATTTCAGAGGATAACGAAGACTTTGTTGATGCCGCAGCAGTGGTTAGGTTGTTGTTTGTACTAGGTGCTGCAGAGATTTGATTAGATCTGGTGGTGATGAGGCCCACACCCAGTGTGTCCAGGTCTGACTGCAGCTGGAAGTTCACCCAGGTCTGAATCACAGTATCATTCTCAAACAACTTCAGATCTGGAAGCTGATCACCCATGAGGCTTTTGACATTGGTTACCGTCAAATTCTGCACATTTTGAAAAGTAAAACAAAAAATTAAAGACTGTTATCTATTTTATTAGAGCACCTTTTATTTCAAAGTACGGTCATAATTGATTAAGAACATTGCTTTTGCTTCTGTACATTGCTATTTCCATTTAGTGGGTTGTGGCCTTTTTTATTCCACGCGAAAACATTACTTGTGCCAAATTATGGCACAACAAGTAATATTTTTGCATGGAATAAAAAAGGCTATGGCCCACTAAAACAGAAACTGCAATGTACAGAAGCAAAAGCAATGTTCTTAATCAGTTTCAACATTAAAACAACTAACCCAGTTTTACTATACTTACAGTTATAACACTAATATCCAAACTCCGGAAAATGTCAACATCCATGCTGATGTTCTGTGTTGATAATGCTACAATGTCCATCAGAGGTGCTCCACCTATCAACATGGAAAATGAAGATAAATTAGAGAAATATCTGCAAATAGGTAAAATAAAAATTATAAATCTGCATATTCTCACCCAAGTAGCTCTTAATTAGGTTGTAGTAGGCAGATGAATTGGAACGATATAAACCATAGGAGGAGCTGCTGATCCCATACAGGAGTCTCTTCTGCTCAGCAGAACACAATGCCACGTTTAGAGGTTGGGCACTCCTGACAAGGAGGGAAAAACAACATGACATTTAGTGTCTCATGAATACACAGTGGCAATAAGTACATGTTGTCATTATGCTGGAACCAACCTGAGACTGTCTGCTGTGATGGTGCTTAGTGTGCTGGGGTCCAATGAACACAAGTTAGATCTAATATTGTTCAGCACAATGGTGCTGAGGGAGTTTCCAGAGGTATTCAAGTACTTGGTGATTATTTCTTTGCTCTAAATGACATGAAGAAAAACACGTTATGTAACCAAGCTATACTCATTACAATTATGAATTACTGAGCTTTTCTAGTTTTGATTCTGATACATTTACCTGTTCTGTTGTCCATGTTCCATCTTCATTTTTCATAAGAGCTGCCAACGTGTCAATTGTAGTGATGTTCCAGTTAGATATGTCAGAAGGTGTTGCCACACGAGACACTGAACCAAGTAGCTGAACGTCCTTATCAGAGATTCCAGATGGGTATGCCTGGAAGTAAAGAACATAATTGGGAACATATAAAAAGTTGACAGGTAACTGAAGTAGAACACATAGGTAAGCAAGGTCAATAACTAAGGACCTTGGCAAAATAAAACACATTTAGACATTTCCCCATCATCACATATCCCTTCCTTACCTGGTTGAGTTTCTGCAGAATAATCTTCTGGAAGTTATTGTCATCCACTTTTGAACAGATGGCATTGAGGTTTTCTTTCAGAACAGAAATGTCCAAGCAGTAGTCAAACTGGATCAGATCATAGCCAAATGGGAAGGCGGTGTCACTAACAGTCACCTGGGTGATGTTGGCCGTTGTGCAACCTAATGAAAAACAAAGAATAACAGCAATGTTCATTTAATGACAGTTATTTATTGTATTTGCACATGAACACCATAGGCAGTATATATAGTATTTCGTACTTATAAATTATATTTGTTCAGTTATTGTGTGAGTAGCTGGTTTGAAAATATACCTGCTCCTCGTTTGGTTATAAGGGGAGTAACCTGGTTGAACAAATTCTTGAGCTTTGTCTTGGGTGTCTTTATTTTCCTCAAGCTTGGCATAAAGCTTTGCAGAAAACTCCTTTTTGTTATCTGAAAAAGAAAATGGAATGTAAACAAATTTTCACAATAATGATTTTTTTGGGTTGACATCAAATTAATCTTTGAAGAGAAAAGGAAAAAAAAAACCCCACAGTTGTGATATTTGCCCAAATGCTTCTTGTTAGGTACAGAGGAAGATTCCCGAGGTTATCCAATGTTTGCCGAGTCCAGGTAGCCACAGGTCTAAAGATACAACACAAAATGATTAAAAAAACAAGGCTGATGTTTTGCTAGAAAACTGATTGATTGCAATGATTTAAAATATCTGGTTCCTGTACCCATATTGTGTTTTTCCAGAGAGCAACAGAGTCTCCATAGCAGCTACTTGGCTGGCAGAAAGGTCCGTGCAGGCTTTGAGATTTTCCAGAATCAAAGGATCAGAGCTCTGGATGTAAGAGCTATCCAGAGTGCAGACCATGTTCCCCAAAACAGCAACATTGTCTCTGCTCAAGTTCAACCCATTTATACCCTAAATTGGTGAAAACACAGTTTGTGAAATGTTTCTATGAAATGATAATTCACTCTAAATAGTGAACTTTCATTTATACCATTTGACAATTTTATCTATAGTTGTATAATTTTTATAATGTGTCCCATTGACTCTTCATCCCACTGGCACTCACCAAGCAGGTCTTGGCTTCACTGAACAGCTGCTGTGCCTTGTTCAATATGCTGGAGGCCACAGAAAAATCTGCAGCACCCAGTGCAGAAAAGTAGGTCCTGCAATTGCTTTTCTGGACATCCTGGGCCCTGTTATAAATTCATTAGAGAAAGTGTTGGAAAATATTTTAACATGTTTTTTCAAAATTAAGCAAGATTGTTGAACAAAGACTTACTTGAAGTATAGAAGCATGTCTGAAGGGTAATCTGTGAAGTTCTGTGAGAGGTCTCCTTTGAGCAAGTTGTACATGCAGGTCAGCTGCAGGTAGAACACATAATATTGTACAAGTTAATAAATATGTTTAATAAAATAGGTAAATAAGGATTCAAGGAAATCCCTAACTTGTAATTGTTTTGTCAATAATCTTTGTATTTATACATTTTATTATCTTTGCTGGCACCTTTAGAGAAAAATTGTAATAATCATCATGTTTGGGATATTTTTGCATGCTTTTGTAACATTTAAAAAAATTATGTTATTGCAACAAATTTTACATACATATGTTGAGTTTGTTCAGGAATTTCAGGATGTGACTTCTGATCAGTATATTTTTTCCTTTTTAAGTTTATGAGATTTTTGTGAGTTTTTGAGACAGTTTAAAATGAATGACTGTTTTAGCCATGGGAGGCGCTGCTGGAGCAAAGCGTCTCACTGGTCTGGATCAGCGCTTTGGGCTTCCTGACAGGGTTGCGGAAGGTGCTTTATAAATAAAGCTTTGATTGATTGATTGATTGATTGTTAGCACAATGCTAATACACATTGAAAAACCCATAGGGATGCTAATGCTAATATTGCCGATTACATTTTTACAAATTACAAATTAGGAACGTGCCAAATGATTAAATTTGGAGCCTAATAAAAAGTAAAAACTGCCATAAATCAAATAAGTACAGACAGATATTTTAGTAAAGCTACAAAACTGTAAGAGACTTCAACTCCACTGAGTTCTGGCTAGCAGCTATCAACGTAACTGAACTACGCAAGCTCTGCATGGACTAGACGTCAAAACTCTAAACACAAAATACTTGAATAAATGGGACACACTTCTTTCCTGCAAATCAATTTTCACAATTGATACTAATACCTATGCTCCTTCAAGGGATGTACTCCTGGCTGCAAAGCATTGAACCTTCAAATACAAAATCTTGTCTTTACTTGTGAATGTTTATGTATGTGTAGACAAATACACGTGTTGATATAATATGTAGATACATCAACTTGTTTACAGTATATTCAGTACAAGTTACATAGATTTTTTTGCGTCCGTTAGTTGAAAAATATGAGAAAAGCCCCTTGAGAAAATAATCGTGAATTAAATCGGAATTGCAATATTGAAGAAAAAAATCGCAATTAGATTATTTTCCTAAATCGTTAAGCCCTAGTTTAAAGTACTATTGATCTTTAACTATTCTAATAAATAGTGTACTTAAGTGTAATTGATAAGAGTCTCACAAAACACAACAAGTATAAACAATAGAGTCACATCCCACTTCCTGTTCTCAAGACCCGCATGATGTTGTGACTATCGTGCGACTTTCCAAAATGCGCTCAGCAGCGCATCCTGTGTGACCACTAGACTTCTCAAAATCACGGGCGCGACGCGCAGCATCTGTCTCCAGTGTGCCCTAGACTTAAGGCACACCTGTACATTACTCATACTGTCTAATCAGCCCTTTGATACGCCACACCTGCGAGGTGGGATGGATTGTCGTGGTAAAGGAAAAGTGCTCACTAACACATGTAGACAGAATTCAGAACAATATTTGCATCATAGGGGTTTTGTGCATGTAGAAAAAAGTTTCAGATGTTTGAGTTCAGCCCATGACAAATTGGAGCAAAAACAAAAGTGTTGCATTTAATTTGTGTTCAGTGTATGTATATGAATAAGCATTACTTACTGACTTAATCTTATTATAACTCTGCTTTAACTAGGCTCTTCTGCAATTTTTGGCAAATGTGTGTAAAGCATTCAAACAGTATTTCTGCTAAGACATGCAGTTCATCTCATTTAATTATTATGTTTTACCTGTGATTCTCTCAGTTCCACTTTGGCACTGCCTGTCCTTGGTCTACTAGCATGGATCAGCTGCCTGATTTGTTTTTTTGACATTGTCTTTATTGTTGTACATGTGAAGCCTTGCAGCACAAATGGAGAAAGTCTGTGAGAAAAAAAGAAAAGGGACAAAGCACGCCAATAATAAATCTCTGTTCATAACAATACAATTAATTGAAAATACAATATTTATTTACGTACTGCTCAGTGTCAAAATTAGCCCCAGCAAGAGATCCAAAAAACATGACAGACTGCAGGAATAAGAAAAACATGTTTAAATGAAAGGAATATAATTCAGAAGACACATATTTGGGTTCAAACACTAAATGTAAAAATTTTTAAATATTGCTTTTGGTGCAGGCTAAACCCTGCTACTATGAAATCTATCTTGCTGGCTTTAATTTTAATAGTGTCAAGGAACATACATTTTTGTCTCAAGTCTGGCCTTTAAACCCTTTGATTTATTCAACATCTTTGATAAGTATGAATAAGTGAATAGCTGATACAAAACGGAGCTTCTAAAAGTCATAAAGAAATCTTGAGTCAAGAACACAAACATCAATTACTTGACATCTGAATATGTTTATATTGCATGATCGATCCCAGCTCCCTGCAGAAAACTATTCTGTTGTGTCCTTAGACAATACATTTCACTCTCCTTGCCTTCCGGTGGTTGTTGGAGGGACTGATGGCATCTGTGTTCAACAGTTTTGCCCCATGGCAGTGTGTCACAGGGCAGTTGTGGCTATAATGTAGCTCATCACCATTCATGGATGGATGTGTGTGTGTCTGAATGGATGAATGATTCACTGTTGTGTGAAGAGCTTTGGAGTCCTTTGAATCAATAAAGCGCTATGCATGGGCAGGTAATTTATCATTTATTATTTTCTTTTTCTCTGTTAATTGTCTATGATACCTACCAAGTTAATCAAGCACATGGCCTCAAAATACAAATACAGAGCTAAAATTTTACTGGAAAAAAACAAGACATGGGTGGGGACACTGCTGTTTTTTATTACCAAAAAAATTGTTTATGACAGAGGTCCTGTTCAGACCACACAAATCTGGATTTGCTGTATTATCATTTTATTGCAGAAGGATAATGATAAATGGCCTGCACTTGTATAGCACCTTTCAAAGTCAGAGGACTCCAAAGCGCTTTACACCACAGAGTATCATTCATCCATTCACACACACATTCACACACTGGTGATGAGCTACGATGTAGCCACAGCTACCCTGGGGCACACTGACAGAGGCGAGGCGGCCGAACACAAGTGTCATGAGTCCCTCCGACCACCACCAGCAGGCAAGGTGGGTTAAGGGTCTTGCCCAAGGACAAACCTGCAGAAGTATTTGTCTGGAGCCAGGACTGAACATGTAACCTTCTGGTTGCTGGACCACCTGAATGTTTATGGAGTGCACCAAGAAAGGGAAGGGTGTGATGAACTGAGTTAAAAGTAGATGTGTAATTTAGGGATAACACATTACTGTTTGTCCATGAAATAATAAACTATTATGAAGGGCATTTTGTGTATTGAGAGTGAATACTGTTGTTAAATTAAGAAACCCAGTAAAGACAACTTAAACACTACAAATGCTCATGTGCTAGGAATTTCAGCAGTTTATAATAAACATTTACATTTTTTCTTCATAATTAAATATTGAAAATGCAAATAAAACACAATACTCTTTAGTGTTGCTGATTATTTATCCACCCTCCTCTCTTTACACAGGAAAACGTATCTCATAAACTCTTATCAGCAAGTTAGCAATAACAATAATACATGACCTACAATTGTAAAGCACGTTTGTGAGTCAGAGGACTCCAAAACACTACACTGAATCACCTATTCACAAATACATTATTGGTGATAAGCTACACTGTAGCCACAGTTCCTAACAGAAAGGAGGCTGCCGTACACAGGAACCACCAGTCCCTCCAACCACCACCAGCAGGCAAGGAGGTGAAGTGTCTTGCCCAAGGGCACGACTGTGACATAGTTAAAAAAAAAAAAAGACTGCCGTGAAGATGGAATTTTTATACCCCCTTGTGGGCTTAAAATAGGAAGTGAAAAAAATAATGTGTGCTAATTGCTGAGGATGTACTTTGATAGCACAACTTGGTAATGATAGATTGGCTCTGACCATCCAATCAGAGTACAGAAACCCCCAACCTCATTGTGAGCCAGCTAGCTGAACTAATGAAATGGTAACAACCCCCCAAGGCACTTTACAACTAACCAGTCATTCACCCATGCACAAACACATTCACACGCTGGTGATAAGCTACATTGTGGCTACAGCTGCCCTGGAGCAGAGAAAGCCTTGCTGGTCTTGACTGCACATCACTGCTCAGCACTGACCTGATCCTTTGTCCATGTCTTCTTGTTTATCACAGTGATGTTTGCACTGCCATCAGAAAAGGCCAGCATTGATGGTGGGATTTGTATTGCTAAAACATCAGGGACATTCTGCACCACCTCAGCTGGTTTTGTGTCCACAGAAATGATCTAAGAGAACATCAGTTTAGTTATTCTTCTATGTACAAAGGTGCAGGATGGCAATAAATTGATAACATTCTTATATATATACAAAAAAATGAATATTTTTTCCTATGTGTGCATTTTTTCTAGGAGAGAAATATCATCAATTTCTGCGTCAACAACCATAATTTACGGAATATAAGAGATAAATGCTGAAACAGTACTTTTATACAGTAAATAAAATGCAGCTTTAATAACAAAATTAGAAATGCGTTTCTAAAAGGTTTTTTGTGATCGACAGGCAGATTGATGCTGCGTCAGCAGTGATGCTGGCGTTGTACCGATCTGTCATGGTGAAGAGAGAGCTGAGCCAGAAGGCAAAGCACTCAATTTATCGGTTGATGTATGTTCCTACCCTCCCCTATGGTCACAAGCTTTGAGTAGTGAACAAAAGAATGAGATTGCAGATACAAGAGGAGCTAGTTGAGGTGGCTTAGGCATCTAGTTAGGATGCATCCTGAATGGCTCTCTGGCGTAGTTTTCCAGGCACGCCTAACTAGGAGAAGCCCTTAAGGAAGACCCAGGACACGCTGGAAAGTCTATGTCTCATGGCTGGCCAGATAATGCCTTAGGATTCCCCAGAGAAGCTGGCCCAAGTTACTGGGGAGAGGGAAGTCTGGGTCTCCTTGCTTAGGCTACTGTCACCGCAACCTGACCCCGGATAAGCGGCTGAAAATGGATGAATGGATGAATGCTCATAAACTGATTGAGTAATTTGCATTTTAAAGTAAAAATTAGGAATACAAAATTATAAACTTATTTTTTTACAAAACATAAAAAAGGATTTTGTATGTAATAATTAAAGGTTTCTTAACTCACTTTCTGGTTGTTTGTACTTCATTTCAAATAGAGACATAATATGTTTAAGTTGTATTTATCAACATTGTCTACAAAGGAAACTCCATTTATTCATCTTTTTATTGTGGTTACCTCTCCTGGACTTTGCCAACTCCATTCAAATTGGGGCAAATGCCTCCTGTCTTAAGAGGAAGAAAAAAGTGCAAAATGCGGCTGCTGGGTTTCTTACGAGCACTGACCCTTGCGAGTCACATTTCCCCTGTCCTGGTCAGTCTACACTGGATTCCACTGCAATTTAGGTTTCAGTTCAAGCTACTAACCCTGGTATACAATGCTCTGAATGTCTCTTCTCCTTTCCATCTCCCTGAGCTGCTTGTGGCTTACATCCCAATTCAATCCCTCTGGTCTGTTGACCTTAGTCTTTTGATCATGCCAAAGAGGTCATACAGTTTGCGTGGAGAGCAAGCTTTCTCACACATCGCCCCCATACTATGGAACACTTTACCACTTCATACCAGTACAGCACAGTCTATAAATGAGTTAAAATCATGTCTAAAACCCCACTACTTTAGTCTTGATTTTGGACATTGACACTACAATTTTCCCTCCTCTTAGGCTCATATTTTTACACCCTGTGTTAATTTTAACTTAATTTTTAGCATCTTCTCTTTACATACTTTTATTCATTGGATTGTTTTTATTCCCTTATTGAATGTTTTATTGTATGTTTTAGTTGTTTTCATTGGGCAAGTTTGGAATTACCATAGCTTTAATGATCCCCTTGCCTCGACTGCGCAGCACTTTGGTCAGCTGCCCTGTTGTTTTAATTGTGCTTTATAAATAATGGATGGATGGATGGATGTTTAATATCACACATTTTTAATGACTGTAATGTTATACCTTTTGAACAAATATCTCTTGGAGAACCGCTGAAGCTTGTAGCATGCTGGAAACAAGAGCAGGGTTATTTGAGGCCCTGAGCAGTGCAGAAGCTGGGGTTTTTTCCAGCAACCCTGAAGGTAATCCAACAACAAGACTGCCAAGAGATTCCAGGGAGTCAGTACTGTTAATCTGTCAATTGGATAATCATTAATTACAAACATGTTTCATAATAATTTTTAAACAAGTAGAATAAAATCTTATTACATCAACCAACAAGCAAAAAATATTTCAAATGGTTGTCAAGATTACAGCTTCTACCTGGTAGCCTGAGGAGGTTATGCTTTGGATAATGATGTTGGCCTGGTCTTGGCCCCAGGTTGTCACTGAAGCCAAAGTATAGAGCAAGGAAATCAGCAGTGTTGGGGAGATTGAAGATATCTGAGTATTGCTCAGGCCTGAAGCAGCTCCCCCAAGGCTTACAATCGTTTGTGCTGTGATGGTCTTGATGTTGGATGCCAAAGCAGCGGATGCCTATTAAGTACAATTTATAAACATTTTCAAAATAACTGATTACACATATATGACTAACAATCATGCTTCTTAACAAGGAGTTAGCGTGGAAGGTTGTGGATGCTTCAGCCTGAGGAGACCACTACTTCCAAAGTAAATGGAGCCAATCACTGAGCAGAACCTTTTAGGGCTGCAGCTATCGAATATTTTTGTAATAGAGTACTCTATCGAATCTTTTTTCGATTAATCGAGTACTCTAATAAATTACCCTTTTGTGTTTGTAAACCTTTATATCATATATTGATGAGCCAAGATGGCGCCGAGTATGGCTGCCTCGTCGCGAGCTCCACCAAGTTCCAACATTACACGCTCCATACTGTACATTAATGCCACTGTTTTGCACATACCAACCTCTGTACATTTTATATCTCTTATCTTATTGTTTACTTTATTCATTTGTATACCTAGATTAGCCATTTTTATATTTTACTTGTTTTTACATTACTGTATTTTTGCACAACTCTATTGCTGTGAAACTCGCACACAAGAATTTCACTCGCATGTACTGTACCAGTGTACCTGCACATGTGACGTGACAATAAAAGTGATTTGATTTGATATCAAATAGCATGTTATAATTATGAAAAACCTCTTAAAATGAGCAAGCAATTGCCAGTTATTCAAGTTTTATTCAAAATTAGTTTGCATAACTTCAGCACTTCAACTTTACTTCACAGTAAACAAATGCGTGTGCAAAAAATAAGTAAACCTGAGCCGATTTTCCCCTCGTGCGAGAATCTGCTAGCCTGCAAGTCAGACAAAAACTAGGAGGATAACGCTGCGAGCGGCTGCGGCCCAAACAGAACCAGAACCGCTCACGGCGCAAACAGCTCGCCGGCTGTTTCCCTATTAATACACGTCCGTTTTAATTTCCACACTTTTTTTCTCACACTAACAAGGATTGCCAAAAGCATGTTTGCTGTGGTTTTGTCAAATTACACTGATCACAAAACATGTATTTACTTTCTTTCGTTTTCCTCCGCCACTCATAAATACCCGTGTCCTCCTGCAGAAACCCCGAGGGACAACAGACATCAATAACACAATAAAAAGTCCGACGTGTTGTGTAAAAACTGCTATTTTTAGCACATTTTAAGCCCGACGTGTTGCTACCAGATGTACGGTGTGAGCTGAAACTGAGCGCTACAAACGAAAAAGTCGCAGAGTCCGCTGAAAATATAGAAAAACAGGCTAAAAAGCATTATCTTGTAGAGGCTCCGAGTCCGCTTGCAGAAGTGACATTTACAGGTGCTGCAGCACGGAGGATGTGGTGTTGTGCTAGGCTAAATCCATTTTACTGTATTTATACTGGACTACGTTTTCCACCTTACGACGTGAAAAATGGTTCCACAACTTTGACATTTTCTGTCTTTTTCGCACTCCACCGGGGTTCAAGTTGTCCGCCATGGCTTAAGAGAAAGTTAAGTTATATTCGCTACTCACGTGTGCATTCAGTCCAGTGGGCATGTGCGTCACTTATTTCGGTCCGGGTGAAACATGACCCCGGGCGATTGCAAAGCCATAAATTAATTAAATATGAATTAAACGAATCCTCGAGGCAGAGAATTTGACTCGAGGATTTTTTGTACTCGAATTATTCGAGGTACTCGAGGAATCATTTCAGCTCTAGAACCTTTATACTCAGTTCTGTGTAGGAACTATTTGAGCTGGTACCTGAGGGTCCTCGATTCCATAACAAAATTGCTTCCTCATGTCCAGGATGACCACGGTGTTAGTTTCATTTAGAGAGGTATACACTCTACTCGGGATGGTAGTCGAGCACATCAAAACACCTGGAAGCCTAGATGGAGAGAGAGGCATTCACATTTATGTACACATCAATAGTTTTTTTTAACATGAGCCGTGTTTTTCATTCAGTTGTCATAGCACTGTTTGTATTTGTATCCAGCGCTGGGTACTTACTTGAACAGGCTGAAGCTTGGGTTGACTGTAAACAGCTGAGTGATGTAGTAATTTCTTACATCTACAGCAATTGCTGAGTTGTTGAAAAGCTCCAGATTAGCTTGGTCTTCCCAAAACACTTCAGCCTTTAAATACAAGTGCACAGAAAAAACAAGAGGTAAAGACTAAAATGTTTTTACCATGTGAGGGGTAAGACTTTAAAATATATTGTATAATGATGTGAACACAAACCTGGGATGTGGGGACAAAACTTATGAGATCATTCAGAGTGATAAATGTCACAAAGCTGCTGATATATTTGAAAAACCAGGAGGTAGAGTTGAGTTCTGGGTCACTAAGATTATAGCATCTGGCTCCAGAGCCTGTGGAGAAAGAAACAGCTATTTAGCACCATCAGCAAAATGTTTTCTAGTTTTTCATAGTTTATAGGCTTAATTATGTCTAATGACATCCATCCAACATTGCACTAATAAAAAATTCTTACCAGTAGTCAAATAGCTCCTTATGGTGTTGTACACATCTTCTGGTCCAAACTCTGTACTGTTGTATGTGAAATTGTTTCCCATATAAAACACCCTTTTGAAAGAAAAACATAATTTTAACTGAATAATTTTCTCTTGAATGTGATCAATCAGCTAGGAAAACAACTTACAGTTTCTGGAATGCCTGACATGAGGCACCCTGCACTTCCATGGGGCTGATGAGGTTTTTTGTGAGAAACCTCAGGTAGTTCTTCAAAAGTACGTCAAACCACAAATTAACCTCAGATGTCCTGTTGATGCTCAGAGCCATTTCCCAAAAACAGGGGAGGATCACCTTCTTCATATCATCAGAAACAACAATCTAAAATAAATGGTCAAATAAATGTAACATGATTAATTACACCATAAAAACTATGAATTTATTCATTATTGGAGATGGAGTACATACAGTTTCCAGGAAGGTAACAGTGTTGTTGTAGTTGATGAACGTGGCACAGACATCTGAACTGGTGACTTTAGAAATGGGGGGACCATTTGTTGAAGCTGTTTCAGTGATAATTTCAGTAGCTGTTGTTTCTGTAACAGTGCTGGCTCCAGCATTTGGCATTGATAATCCTGCGTCGGTTGCAGCATTTGTTGTTGATTTCCCAAAGCTAGTTAGATGATTTAACAATGATGTTTCAACACTGGTTACAGCATTTGTCATGGCTGTTCCAATATTAGTGGCAGCATCTGTTTTTTCTGTCACAGAGTTTGTTCCATCATTTGGCACAGATGTACTAAAACTGGTTTCAGCTTTATTTGAGATCATTCCAACACTCGATTCAGCATTTATTGTCATAAATGAGCTGATTCTCTCATTTGGTGTTGTTATTCCAGAGTTTGTTCCCATATTTGTTGATGCTTTTCCAAAGCTAGTTGTAGAAATTGATGATGATGCTTCAGTGCTAGTGATATCATTTGATATAACCATTCCAGAACTAGTTGCGACATTTGTATTTTCTGTAATTAAGGTGGTTTCAGCACTTGAAGAAGAAATTTCAGAGTTAGTGACTACGTTTCTTGTTGATGTCTCAAAGCTATTTGGAGAAATTATTGATGATGCTCCAGCAGTTGTGGGACCATTTGTTGATACAATCCCAGCACTGGTTGCAGCACTTATAGGTGTAAACGAGCTTGTGCCAGTGTTTGGCACAGGTTTATCAGAAGTGGTTTTAGCAGTAGCTGAGGCTATACCAATATTAGTTACTGCATTTATGGTAGTCATGAAAGAGCTGGTTCCAGCAATTGGTGTTATTTCAGAGCTGCTTTGAACATATGGTGTTGATTTTTCTAAGATGGTTGGTGGAATGAATGATAATGTCTCAGTGCTGGTGGGATTATTTGTTGTCACCAATCCACCACTGGTTGCTGCATTTCTTTTTTCTGTCACTGAGCTGGTTCGACCATTTGGACTGTAAATTTCAGAGTTGGTGGCTGCATTTCTTGTTGATGTCTCAAAACTAGTTGGATAATTTATTGATGATGCCCCAGCAGTAGTTGGGCCATTTGGTGATACCATCCGAGCACTAGCTGCAGCATTTGTTGATGTCAAAGAGCTGGTTCCAGCGTCTAGTACAGGTTTATAAGAAGTGGTTTCAGCAGTATCAGAAACTTGACCAATATTAGTTGCAGCACCTGTGGTTCCCATGAAAGAGTTGGTTCCAGCATGTGATGTTATTTCAGAGCTGGTTGGAACATTTGGTGTTGATTTTCCTAAGATGGTTGGTGGAATGGATGATATTGCCTCAGTGCTGGTGGGATTACTTGTTGTCACCAATTCACCACTGGTTGCTGCATTTATTTTTTCTGTCACTGAGCTAGTTCTAGCATTTGGACTGAAAACTTCAGAGTTAGTGGCTGCATTTCTTGTTGATGTCTCAAAACTAGTTGGATAATTTATTGATGATACCCCAACAGTAGTGGGGCCATTGGGTGATACCATCCCAGCACTGGCTGCAGCACTTGTTGGTGTCAAAGAGCTGGTTCCAGCGTTTAGTACAGGTGTATCAGAAGTGGTTTCAGCAGTATCAGAAACTTTACCAGTACTAGTTGCAGCACTTGTGGTTCCCATGAAAGAGTTGGTTCCAGCATGTGATGTTATTTCAGAGCTGGTTGGAACATTTGATGTTGATTTTCCTAAGCTGGTTGGTGGAATGAATGATATTGCCTCAGTGCTGGTGGGATTACTTGTTGTCACCAATCCACCACTGGTTGCTGCATTTATTTTTTCTGTCACTGGGCTAGTTCTAGCATTTGGACTGAAAACTTCAGAGTTAGTGGCTGCATTTCTTGTTGATGTCTCAAAACTAGTTGGATAATTTATTGATGATACCCCAACAGTAGTGGGGCCATTGGGTGATACCATCCCAGCACTGACTGCAGCACTTGTTGGTGTCAAAGAGCTGGTTCCAGCATTTAGTACAGGTTTGTTAGAAGTGGTTTCAGCAGGATCAGAAACTTTACCAATACCAGTTGCAGCACTTGTGGTTCCCATGAAAGAGTTGGTTTCAGCAATTGATGTTATTTCAGAGCTGATTGGAACATTTGGTGTTGATTTTCCTAAGATGGTTGGTGGAATGAATGATAATGTCTCAGTGCTGGTGGGATTACTTGTTGTCACCAATCCACCACTGGTTGCTGCATTTATTAGTTCTGTCACTGAGCTGGTTCGACCATTTGGACTGTAAATTTCAGAGTTGGTGGCTGCATTTCTTGTTGATGTCTCAAAGCTATTTGGATAATTTATTGATGATTCCCCAGCAGTAGTTGGGCCATTGGGTGATACCATCCCAGCACTAGCTGCAGCATTTGTTGGTGTCAAAGAGCTGGTTCCAGTGTTTAGTGCAGGTTTGTTAGAAGTGATTTCAGCACTATCAGAAACTTTACCAATACTAGTTGCAGCACTTGTGCTTCCAATGAAAGAGTTGGTTCCAGCATGTGATGTTATTTCAGAGCTGACTGGAACATTTGGTGTTGATTTTCCTAAGATGGTTGGTGGAATGAATGATACTGCCTCAGTGCTGGTGGGATTATTTGTTGCCACCAATCCACCACTGGTTGCTGCATTTATTTTTTCTGTCACTGGGCTAGTTCTAGCATTTGGACTGAAAACTTCAGAGTTAGTGGCTGCATTTCTTGTTGACATCTCAAAGCTATTTGGATAATTTATTAATGATACCCCATCAGTAGTGGGGCTATTTAGTGACACCATCCCAGCACTGACTGCAGCACCTGTTGTTGTCAAAGAGCTGGTTCCAGCATTTGGAAACGGTTTATCAGAAGTGGTTTCAGCAGTTGCGGAAATTATACCAATACTAGATATGCCATTCGTGGTTGCCATAAAAGAGCTGGTTCTAGCATTTGGTGTTGTTATTGCAGGGCTGGTTGGAACATTTGGTGTTGATTTTTCTAAGCTGGTTGGTGGAATGAATGATAATGTCTCAGTGCTGGTGGGATTATTTGTTGTCACCAATCCATCTCTGGTTGCTGCATTTATTTTTTCTGTCACTGAGCTGGTTTGACCATTTGGACTGTAAATTTCAGAGTTGGTGGCTGCATTTCTTGTTGATGTCTCAAAGCTATTTGGATCATTCATTGATGATGCTCCAGCAGTAGTTGGGCCATTGGGCAATACCATCCCAGCACTGGCTGCAGCACTTGTTGATGTCAAAGAGCTGGTTCCAGTGTTTAGTACAGGTTTATCAGAAGTGGTTTCACCAGTATCAGAAACTTTACCAATACTAGTTGCAGCACTTGTGGTTCCCATGAAAGAGTTGGTTCCAGCAATTGATGTTATTTCAGAGCTGACTGGAACATTTGGTGTTGATTTTCCTAAGATGGTTGGTGGAATGAATGATACTGCCTCAGTGCTGGTGGGATTACTTGTTGTCACCAATTCACCACTGGTTGCTGCATTTAATTTTTCTGTCACTGAGCTAGTTCCAGCATTTGGACTGAAAACTTCAGAGTTGGTGGCTGCATTTCTTGTTGATGTCTCAAATCTAGTTGGATAGTTTATTGATGATAACTCAGCAGTAGTGGGGCCATTGGGTGATACCATCCCAGCACTGGTTGCAGCACTTGTTGGTGTCAACGAACTGGTTCCAGCATGTGATAATGGTTTGTCAGAAGTGGTTTCATCAGTAGCTGAAATGATGCCAATGCTAGTTATGCCATTCGTGGTTGCCATTAAAAAGTTGGTTACAGCAATTGGTGTTGTTATTTCAGAGCTGGTTGGAACACTTGTTGGCATTAAAGAGCTAGTTCCAGTGTTGGGCACAGGTTTATCAGCGGTAGTTTCCGCAGTAGCGGAGTCAATACCAATACTAGATACGGCATTTGCGGTTGCCATGAAAGAGCTGGTTCTAGCATTTGTTGTTGTTATTTCAGAGCTGATTGGAACATTTGGTGTTGATATTTCTAAACCTGTTGGTGGAATTGTTATTCCAGAGTTGGTTGCCATATTTGTTGTTGCTGTTTCAGAGCTGGTTGGAGACATTGATGTTGATTCCCCAGTGCTGGCAAGATAATTTGTTGTGAACAATCCAGCACTAGTTAGTAAGTTTACGTTTTCGGTTACTGAACGGGTTCTGGCATAAGCAGTTGAAATTTCAGAATGAGTTCCTGCAGTTTCTGTTGATGTCTCAAAGCTATATGGGGAATTCATTGATGATTCCCCAGCAGTGGTAGGGCCATTTGTTGATACCATTCCTGCAGTTGTTGCAGTTGTGGGTTGTGCAGTTTCACGGTATGAATTGGTTATGATGAGTCCCACACCAAGAGTGTCCAGCTCTGACTGTGTCTGCAAGTTTATCCAGCTCTGAATCACTGTATCATTCTCAAACAACTTCAGATTTGGTAACTGGTCACCCATGAGGTTTTGGATGTTAGTCACAGTCAAATTCTGTGCATTTCAAAAGAGAGATAAAACAAACAAAAACATATTTAATATTTTTTCCAACAGTGAGTAATATTTCATAATACTGCCATACATATTTTTTACCATTCAGAAACCCTTGAGAACAGGTTTCACACAAGGCAGCTATCAGCTATAAACTTAAGATGGCCTCCATAGTATACTTACCATTATAACATTAATATCCAGACTCCTGAAAGTGTCTATGTCCATGCTGATGTTCTGTGTTGATAATGCTAGAATATCGATTAGCGGTGCTCCACCTATCAATGTAGACAGATTCAAGAACTTAGAAAGCATACCTTTTTCATAAACAAGTATAAAGACAAAATTCAAGTTTTCTCACCTAGATAGCCTTTTATTAGATTGTAAAAGGTAATTGAATTAACACGAAATGAATTAAATGAGGTATTGCTGATCTCATAAAGGACTCTCTTCTGTACAAGTGAACATGATGAGACATTCAGACGTTTGATGTTTCTGACAAGTGGAAAGAAATAGTGAAGGGTTAAATTAACACTCATAGTGCTTCCAATAACCTGATGTCATTATTCTAACACCAACCTGATACTGTCTGCTGTGATGGTGCTTAGAGTGCTGATATCCAGTGTACACACATTGGAGCCAATGATATTGAGCTCAGTGATACCCAGGGTTTTTTTAGAGGTATTCAGATACTTGGTGATTATTTCTTTGCTCTAAACAATGAGAAAAACACACCAAGTTTCAAATTTCATATATGCGTATCCCTGTTTTTTTTTTAGTCTGCATTCTTTGATATTTTTACCTGTGCAGCTGGCCAGTTTCCATCTTCAGTTTTCATAAGAGCTGCCAATGTGTCAATCATAGTGATGTTCCAGTTAAAGATGTCAGAAAGCGTTGCCACACGCGACACCGAACCAAGTAGCTGAACTTGCTGTTCTGGGACTCCAGATGGGTATGCCTGGAAGTGCAGAAGATATATGACATAAAATATGTTGAAATTGAACGGACATCTGTGTATATTTACAAAGGGAAAAACACACAGGTCACATGATACATTTAGATCTTTTTACAGTTCTCCATATATTTCCTAATTACCTGGTTGAGTTTCTTTAGAATTTTTGTCTGGAAGTCATTATCATCCACTTTTGAGCAAATGGCGTAAAGATTTTCTGTCATAACAGGAATGTCCAGGCAGAGATCAAATTGAGTCACATCATAACCAAAGGGGAAAGCGGGATCGCTGATGGTAACATCGGTGATGTTGCCCGAAAGGCAGCCTAATAAAAATTAAAAAAACCCTTGTAAATCTACTATGAAAGCTACTATGAATATATTTATTTGGCATAGGTTAATGTCTGCAACAGACAATCTTTGATTCAATTTATAATCTCTAGTGTGAGAGATGAGTTAAAATATTTACCTGCTCCCCGCTTTGATACAAGGGAAGTGATCTGTTGAAACAGGTTTTTGAGCTTTGCCTTTGGTGTATTTCTATTCCTTAAATTTGGCATAAATCCTTTAAGAAACTCTCTTTTTGTTGCCTGTAAAAGAAACATTTTATAAAACAAACACAAATTTTAAACAATAAAATAAAAAAACATGGCCAAATTGTTTGAAAGATTAAAATATAAACATACTGTGTTGATTTTGCCCCAGATGTTTCTTGTTAAGTACAGAGGAAGCTGTTGGAGGTTTTGCAGGGTTTGCAGAGTCCAGGTAGCAACAGTTCTAAAATAAATATGTGTAAATGTTTTTAAAAAGTACAGTTAAATTATACTGCAAACACGTAAAAAATGGATGTAAACAAATCTCAAAATGTTTTTTTGTGGATAACATTTATAGCTGTAATTACTTTATTATTTATATGGAATATCACATCTTATTGATCATTTAATATATATGTAGCCAACCCTTTTAATGCCACAGGTCCAAACAAAATAGAAAAATGTAATCAATCTAAACAATAATACCATACTGACCTAAATATAGGACCAGGTTTTTTTCATTGAAAGCAATTTTAACATGTGGGGTCGTCTTATAATCGAGGTCTAAGCATTCACACATACTGATATTTGCCTGGGGTCATTACACGTCCGTAATAGTTGAGGGCGCCAGGCTGTATGTTCTCAAAGGAGAAAAAAATAGAGAAGAGAGGTCTGAAGCAGAGTGGACCAATAGTGGGGCAAGTTAACAAGCTACCAAGGCAGAGTTATGATACTAATTTTAAGATGATGGACATTTCAGCAGAGGCATCAAACATTGCATGAATGGATGCATTGGACGGCAGTGAGGATGATATGATGCTCAATGGGAGGTGCCGGCAGGTGTAGCGATCTGATGATACACCAGGACTGCAGTAGCATGAAAGTGAGTGAGCACAGCGAGGCAGAGGGCGTCTGTGAATAAAAGCCTCATTAGATGTTCTGATAGTTTGCTTTAAAATAGTATTTTTGCTCAGTATTTGTTCTCAAATTTTAAATAAAAATAGTTTATTTAAAAAGGGATCTGTTTTGTCTTTTCTTGAAGATTAGTCTTGGAAAAGGGGGTTGTCTAATAATCAGGGCCGTCCTATATTCGGGTCAATACGGTATTTACATTAGTTCTTCCTTTAGCCATTTGTTACGGACACTCATCTCTTTCACATTTTCAAACGTTCAGACTAAATGGTAAGATATTGTTTTTGTACCCGTATTGTGAAACTCCAGATAACAACAGAGTCTCCATAGCAGTAACTTGGCTGTCAGAGAAGTCTTTGCAGGCTTTGAGCTTTTCCAGGATCAGAGGATCAGAGTTCATGATGTAAGAGCTGTCCAGAGTGCAGACCATGTTTCCCAGAATGTTCAAGTTGTCTCTGCTCAGGATAAAACCATGTATGCCCTAAAAAGTTAAATTCAAAATGTTAATGTCATTGTCACTTTCTATAGAAGTAAGTAAGCAAAGATTATTTATATAGCAAAGAGGTGATAAGACATTTATAAAGTAATTACAAACAAGTAGGTCATAATACAAATGAAAAAACCAACAAAGATTGAAGCAAATGTGATTATAAATAAGAGGGTCTTTAGCTGATTTTTGAAGGTGTCCAGACTGTCAGTACTACATTAGAATAAAGGAAGTTTATTCTAAATCCAAGGTGCAAAAGCCTGGAAATAGTAATCATCTGGATATTGCTTCTATAAAACTCTGGTTTGTGGACCTGAGGGCTCAGGTTGGAGCATAAGTCTTTAACAGTTCAGTAATATAAGGAGCAGCTTAGCCAAGATTCTAAAATCAATTCTAACGTTAATGGGCAACCAGTGCAAATACATAAAAAAAAAGTGATGGGAGTTCTGTTTGCTCCAGTTTCTTCCAGTTGTCACAGCAGAGTTCTGGACCAACTGAAGGCAGTTTATGTTTAGTATTCTAGATGGAAGAAAATAAACCAACCTATCCAGTTGGGAGATATTTCTCAAACGATAAAACAGTTTTTGACCAGTGTTTTTGAGTGACTGCAAGGATTGGTCAAAAACAACACCAAAGTTCCTCAAGTTTGATTTGACTTAAAATTTTAGAGATACAGGACAATTTTAAAATGGGTCAGTGATTTTTAGGCTAAGAGGAGTCCAAACGAGATTTTTTAAGAATTGGTTCATTGAAAATGAAGGGGAAAGAATCTGATTGGAGGGATGAATTAATAAAATTGCATATTAGGTTAAAAGTTTTAGAACGCAAATAAGTTGGGAGAATATTAACAGAGCCTTGAAGTTGGTTTAATGTTTTTCCGAATGAGACTGATGTCCTGAAAATGTTAAGGCACAAAGAACAGCCACGATTGAGAATTGCTGGATGGGAGAATAGTAAGCAGATGGGAACAGAGCTTTAAACAAAACATAGCAAATCAGAGGTTGCTGCTAACATACACTGTCAATGTTATCATTTAATAAGTTTACAAATATTCTAATAAATATAAGTAGGTCTCAATGTATCGTAAAATTTTTGCGAAAGGAGATGCCTTTTATGTTGATTTTTCACTTTTTGGTACTCACCAAGCAGGTTCTGGCTTCACTAAACAGCTGTCGTCCCTTATTCAAAATGGTGGAAGCCACAGAAAAATCTGCAATGCCCAGTGCTGAAAAGTAGGACCTGCAGTTTCTTTTCTGGACATCCTGGATTCTGTTAAAAATTTTTCAAAAAAGTGAGAAAACCATTGCACTAACATTAGCTCTAAATCAGATGCTTCTTGGTATCAGCACAAGCTTACTTGAAGTATAAAAGTAAATCTGAAGGATAGTCTGTGAAGTTTTGATTGAGGTCTCCTTTTATCAGGTTGTACATACAGGTCAGCTGTAAAAAATAACATGATAATACACAATGTTAAACAAGTCAAATACATCACTTGATGAAAAAAATTAATTGTCAAAGGGTAATGCTTTCGATAGCCAGTTTGTGTACTGCACATCACTTTACTTTGGCGACCCAGAAGGGATTAGGTAGAAGTGAGGTGTGACGAGAGAAAGACTTTTGTGTGTGTAAGTTTTGTTAAATTGTAGTGATGCACCAATATGAAATTTTGGGCCAATACTGATTTTCAATATTAATATCACTGTTATGGCCGATAACCGATGTTTGCCAATATCAGTATACTTACATTAATGCTTCTAAAATCATCAGATTTTGTATAGAATGAAAATTACTGAAGCTGAATTTATGTTATTATGTACAAACACCATGCACATTTACGCTTCTGAGATGATTACAATCACTGTCATGTGACTGAACAAATACACATAACCCCCCATCACACTCTTTAACTAATAAACAAATAGAAACAAGATGGAAAAAATATTGGTTGCTATTATTGGCCCAGTTTTATTTATCGGGCCGATATCGATATGTTAAAAAATGACTAACATCTGCCGATACCAATATTGATGCAGATATATTGTGTATCCCTATTAAATTGGTATGATTGTTATTTAGGGATTCACGTTTTCCCAAATTTCAGCTATTGATACCTCCTAACGGTTAATAGCTGGTTAACCTGAATAACCTGAAGTCAATCCTGACACACAACAAAACTCCCACACTTGTTATATTTATGAACAAAAAGTAAAGAGAGAGTGGGATGACAGCTGCAATGTCAAATTCAAACCTTGTTGCGCGGACCATCTGGAATCAAATAGAGTGCTGCTTGCGATTGCATGCTTATACAGTAATCCCTCGCTACTTTGCGGTTCGTTCATCACGGATTCGCTGCTTCGCAGATTTTTTCTTTGGAGCATTTTTCAGGGGGAATTCGAAGATTCGCGGTATTTTTCACTGATTCCCGGTATTTTTCTATGCGAAATATCAAGAAATTCTTGTTTTTTTTCATCAATTTCATCATAAAATGCACTTTTTGAAATAAAACTAAAAAAACCAAGTAAAAAAATTTTTTTTCTTGAGTTTTACCCACAAAAACAGAATGTGATCATACGATAATTCAATATAGTACTGTATGTCAGACAGGTCAGCTGGATTCGGGAGTTGAGCTTGTAGGGAGCGTGGTTTCACAGACGCGGAAGTGATAGCGTCGTTGAAACACCGGCTGATTTAGGAAACCCCCGAGCGTTCGAGCGTCAACGAAGTGACACGGAAATGCCGGGCTTTCCAGAAGTAAGTAAGATAACTTACTATGAGCTGATAGTTCGTTGGATTGATCGGTAGGTTGGAAAATCTGATCATGAATCTGAAGAAACGATGACTGAGTGGTGAGCTGGAAAGGCGACTTCCGTTTATAGCCGCGGTTTGTGACGTAGGTACGACGTGGAGGGAATCCCCGCGAGGGGCATGCTGGGAGTCCCTACTTCGCGGATTTTTACCTATCGCGGCCAGGTCTTGAATGCATCAACCGCGATAAACGAGGGATTACTGTATATGCATTTTGGAAGCAACGGTAAAAAAAAAAACACTTTAGTTTCCTTACATTGAACTAAATAATTACATTGACAATTTATTTTACTAGACAAATTAGGAGTCAGACGCAAGCAGGAGCATCATGACAGACTGACCTGTTTCTGCGAGTCTTGGTTCAGGTTGCTTCGCCATGTTCTGCCAGGCTCAGCACTTTAATGTGAGACTTATTTTGTTCCAAAAACTAAATAACTAAGAATAAACTGCTTCCATGCAATGCTCTTTGCTAACCGCTCCGTGTTTGAGCACATTGGTTTGGTCATGTGATGACAAAGACAAGAGACAAGACAAGCTCTGAACTGTTTATTTTGGCAGCTGGTCAGTGCTTTGGATAGGCTCTTCAAGTTTGAGTTCAATAAATCATTCAGCATGGGAAGGGATGGAGTGGATATTTTTTAACTTACAAAAGTAATTTGGTTTTTATTAAGAACAAAATTAAGGTGTTCAAAATATGCAACAATTTTATTGCTCTTTTTACCTGTGATTCTTTCAGCTCCACCTTGGGTCTTCCTAACCTCGGCCTACAAGCACGAATTAACTGCTGGGTCTTGGTTGTTGTCAGTCTCTTGGCTGATGTACATGTGAACCCTTGAAGTATCGATGTAGTAAACCTGAAGAAAAGAACAAAATAAAATAAAATTAATTAATAAAAAAAATGCAAATAAAAAACAAAATCAATTAAAACCTTGAATACATTTTTGAAAGACTTGTTCACTTACTGCTCAATGTCAAAATTTGTTTCAGCCAGAGTTGGAAGTAACAAAGAGGCCTGAAAAGATTTTTTCATTTTAGTTCTGTATTGTTTCAAAAAACATATAATTGAAGCAATAGAACGTTGTTGTTCCTATGCTTAAGGTAAAAACATCAGCAAAGAAATAAAATAATTATCATTTCAAAATAAGATAGAAAATCCAAATTTAATAAATATGCATACAATTGTTTATCCCAGGGTCGACAGTTGAAATAGACAATTGAAGTGATAGTTTGTTGGCTTTCTTTACTTGTTCATGTTTCTCATTTTGACTTTTTGAAGTAGAAAGAAATTAAAGAGTTTTGTTTGTTTTTTATGTTTTATTTGTTTTTTGTGTGAATTAAAACAAATATGTGATGTATAGGATTATACTATATATTTTAAATATATGGAAAAATAATGTTGTTTTGTTCTGTTTGTTTTTGTTGTTTTTTCTGAACTGAAAAAGTGGTTTATATTATATCTAAGAGATAGGGCTCCTACTTTTGAACAGGGAGGATGGTGACACTTGAATTGTGTCAGTAAACAATTTGCTGAAAACATGCTAAAGGTGACTGTGCAGTCATTTTCTAACTGCATCAGACTTTCAGCTCATAACATCTTTCCTTAGATACTATCAGACAGTAATCTATTCAACAAATACCATCACAGCAAGGTACCTGATCATGTGTCCATGTCTTGTTATTTATTACACTGACATTTGCACTCCCCTCAGAAAACACCAGCTGGGAAGGTGGAATTATTGTTGCTAAAGCATCAGGAACATTAACCACAATTTGTGCTGGATTTGTGTCCACAGAAATGATCTGTCGAAAAATTCAATGCATGTCATTAAAATTCCTTCTTAAAAGGTCTGTGACTAAAAGGAAAATAATCACAATCTATTTCCTCAGTCTTACACTGATATAGGATGTATACCTTTTGGACAAAGGTTTCCTGGAGATTTATTGGAGCTTGTAGCATGCTAGAAACAAGAGCAGGGTTCTTGGAGGCGCTGAGAAGTTCCGAACCTGGGATACTTTCAATTGAAGTTGAAGGAATTCCCACAACAAGACTGCCCAGTGACTCTAGGGAAGCTGCACTTTT